TAAGCGTCGAGGCCTGAGTTAATGTACCTTTGGTGCATTAGTAATCAATATTATTTAAGTGGTAGTGAGTTGTTATAGTATGGCTGGTAAGCCTTAATTGCATACCGATTATACAAGTTAAATATGCAGTAACTCACAATTGATGTGATGAATACTGAATTGAGCAAAATCTCCAGAAGCAACCAACTATTTTGTTATTCTTTGGCGAATAAGAAATTCTCGTTATTGCTGGAATGCTCTCGCAACCGACGGCTAATTGACTAACGTGCTTCGTTACCTGGCAGGTTTTCATCCAAGGTCACTCGCACCTGAACCGATCCGTGGACGAGGATGTCGTTGCCGTGGAGATCCTGCCGCGGAGTCAGTGGAAGTGTCCATCGTCGATGATGCTGGAGGACAAGACGGAGGCACCGGACGATGAGGAGGCAGCGAACGATGTAGGGAAGCCATTCAGTGAAGCTATCTCATAGCGTTCGTTCGTGCATCATCACGCGACAAGAGCAATGAGAATGCATGATTGATACGAGAGTCACACTTAAGCTAGAACTGCTACTTTTTCTCAAGAGGAAAAGTAGTAGTTAACATGTAACTGTAAGCCAGAACTGCTACTTTTTCACAAGAGAAAAAGTAGCAGTTGAAGTGTACTTGACCTCAGTGGCTTTGGGTTTTCTTGGTGAACTCGGCTGCAATTTACCTCCGTTTCATATGCTACCCTCTAAATTTCTTCACAAATATACGCTAACTATATTTTTTAGGGAATTCTTATTATTATTTAAAACTATTTCCACAAAGTAATGCCCAAAATGCATCCAGGGAGCACCAAATGAGAAAAATACGTGTGGCTTTCAACCTCCTGGTATATAGGTATATAAAGCCGTGTAATGTGCTGGCAGCTGACTTGCAGGTTTTAAAGTTTTTATTTAACAGCAATGTTTAATAGGATGTTTGCTGTCTGTTCATTAGGACCTGGAGGAGGGGACAAACTCGCACAGGTTGGTCACGGGTCGCGTCGTCGGTATCATAAAGCGCAAGTGGAGGCAGTACTGCGGAATTCTGCAGCCTTCTACTCGGAAGGATGTAAGCACTGACAGTTGACATGCTTGCCAGTGACGACAAGAGAACATTTATTAAATATCCCATAATACACTAGATGGGTCGTCAGGCAGCTTTTGGTGCGTCGATCGCACTGCAATTTTGTTTCGAGTTGCATGTTGTGTAAAACAGTGTGTATTATGGGATATCAATCGATTCGCATGCGAACTGACTGGCATTGCTGTATTTATTATCATTTTAATATATAATGTGTAATGTATGTGTGAGTTATTAGGTACTAAACCCTTGTATTATGCTTTGTACAAAAAAGTATACGAATTTATACGTTTTGAGTAGCCAGAACTATTCATTTTGTCGACAAACATTTACAGTTGACATAGCAACATAACAAATGGCAGTCTTTCTGTCAGTCAGTGATATGGCACCCTCGAGTTGCCTTTCTTGTCTTTATTGTGAGCTAAGGAGATAGATAAACAGGGACGCTCTAGTCTCTCCCCTTCCTTATCACCGACGATGCCACACTCTTGCAGTCGACGCGACACCTCTTCGTGCCGGCCGAGAAAAAGATTCCAAAGATCTGTGTGGAGACGCGGCAAGCAGCCGTGCTGCAGGGCCAGCGCATTGTCGTCTGCATCGACTCCTGGCCCCGACACAGCAGGTACCCACAGGTAATCAGCTTAATATATCTTAATATATGTAAGTATACCAATTTGTTGTGTATGTTAGCTTTTACACAGACACAACCACATCAGGTCGAACAACATAAATGGCGGATTTTATTTTCGACCAGTCCAGCCGTAGGTGTTTCAGCCTGTCACGGCCAAGCAAGGTACTTCTACATTGCTGTACCACGTACAGTTTTAACTGCTCACATTGGCCCTTGTACTCAACGTTTACGTGTGCCATGCCCACTGGCTTAAGCTCCCCCCCCCCAGAATAATTCTTGAGGGTAACATCACTGGATATGAGATGTTCACCGTGGATGTCTTGTAACATCAATTGGACTTACTGATTGTAATGATACATAGTGTACCGCAAACCATCGTTACACCGATGCACTTTGCTAATCTCACACATGCGACGCATGTAAGCTCTCTTATCAGTTCTTTTATCTCAATATATGTATGTACTCGTGCATTGTAACATTCGTCGAACGTACTAGTTGTAACGCTACGTGACGTAACGTGAACTATCGTTACAATGCTGCGCTCTGTCTCTCGCGCACACACGACGCATGTAAGCTCTCTTATCAGTTCTTTTATCTCAATATATGTATGTACTCGTGCATTGTAACATTAATCAAACGTACTAGTTGTAACGCTATGCGGCGTAACGTGAACTATCGTTACAATGCTGCGCTCTGTCTCTCACGCACACGCGACGCATGTAAGCTCTCTTATCAGCTCTTTTATCTCAATATATGTATGTACTCGTGCAATGTAACATTCGTCGAACGTACTAGTTGTAACGGTACGTGACGTAACGTGAACTATCGTTACAACACTGCGCTCTGTCTCTCACGCACGCGCGACGCAGGGACATTTTGTGAGGCGTCTCGGCGAGGTCGGCGACAAGGAGACGGAGAACGAGGTGCTACTCCTGGAACACGACGTCGCCCACTCGGCGTTCTCCGAAGCCGTGCTCAGCTTTCTTCCCAAGATGCCGTGGAGCATCAGCGAGGAGGTAGGTCGGTCGCCAGGTGGCACCACCATCGCAATGGGGGAACCGTCGAAACGACGGCGGAAAATACGTGTAACGCACGCGGCGAGTATTCGATGAGTACTAAGTGAACTGAGTACTAAATCATTATACAGTACTTAGTAGTTTTGGCAAAAATGTTCAGGACTTTCTGCTAGATTACACAAGGTTAAGGCATGATATTAGGGGAGGTGGTGTACTCATGTGTACAGTAATTTTCCTTGGAGTGTCGTGGTTGTTGCGGGTAACTATCCTGGGCCTACACATTTGCGGCCACGTTTGTAGCTAGTCCTGTCCTTGTGTAATCAATTTACTTGCGGGGCTGTACGTGAACTGTAGTGTGACGACATTTCATAACGTACGAGCCTGGGATGGTTTCTGCGATGAAGCCTGCTCACTGCACTATCGCGTGCTAGGCATACGTCCTGTGCCTGGCTCTTACCACATTTATTCATTTGCGACAGGACTTGGAAAAGAGAACAGATTTGAGACATCTGGATATCTGCAGCGTCGACCCGCCAGGCTGTACAGACATTGACGATGCTCTGCATTGCAGGTATTAATTCCTCCACGAATCCCATCATTTTGCCGGCCGCTGGACAATTTTAATGTCAAGGGTGGCGTGCATAAACAATAATTTATTAATCCCCCATCAATCCCCCATTAATCCCCTCGCATTATGCCCCTTATTATAATCTCTCTCTCTCTGTTCCTCCTGCCCCACTCTCCCTCTCTCTCTCTCTCTCTCAGCTCCCTCTCCTCTGCTCTCTCGTCTCTCTCTCTCTCTCTCTCTCTCTTGCTCTCCTCTCATCTCTCTCATCTTGCATCTCTCTCTCTCTCTTCCTCTCCCTCCTCCACTCCCTCCCTCGCCTCCCTCGCCTCTCCTCTCTCTTCCTCGTCCTTCTTTCTCTTTCTCTTCTCTTTCTCACATTTACGCCCTCATTATAATCGTCTCTCTTTTGCCTCTCCCTTTCCTCTACCTCTCCCTCTCCCCTCCTCCTCTTCCCTCTCCCTCTCCTTTCTCTCTCTCCATCTCCCTCTCACCTCGTCCCTCATCCCTCTTCCTCTCCCTCTTCCTCCCCCTCTCCCTCTCTCTCCATCTCCCTCTGCTCCCTCCCCCTCTCCTGTCCCTCTCCTCCCGTTCTCGCCTCTCTTTCTCCTCCCCTCTCCCTCCTCATTTCCACTCCTCTCCCTGCCTCTCACCCTTGCCTTTTCTTTCTCTTTCTACATTAACTCCCTTATTATAATCTGTCTCTCTCTCTCTCTTTCTCTCTCTCTCTTTCTTCTCGTTTCGCGGCGCAGGCTGCTGGACACGGTACGTGGAAGGCAGGCGTAATCGCGACGTGACGCACTTTCTGGGCGCCGGGCCAGCGCTGGACCGCGAGGCGAGCGCGCGCGGAGGCACACCGTCTACTCGTCACCCTATGGCTTCGCTCTCACGCCTCTCCCTTCTCCTTCTCCCCCTCATTCCCACTTTCCCCTCTCCCCTCTCCTGTCTTTTCTCTCCCCTCTCCCTCCTCCTTACCTCCTCTCCCCTGCCTCTCACGCCTTGGCCCTTTCTTTCTCTCTCGTAAGCATTAAAACCCTCAATTTATAATCTCTCTCTCTCTCGCCTCTCGCACGCAGGGCCGCTGGAACAAACGGTTAACGTGGAGGCGGGCGTGCACATCGCCGACGTCACGCACTTTGTGCGCCGGGCTCAGCGCTGGACCGCGAGCGAGCGCGCGCGGCACCACCGTCTACCTCGTCGACCGGCGCATCGACATGGTTCCCGAGCTGCTGTCATCGAACCTGTGCTCCCTGCGTGCACGACGGAGACGCGCCTCGCCTTCTACTGCATCTGGGAGCTGACGGCGGATGCGGAGATCGTGCGCGTGCGCTTCATGAAGAGCATCAATCCGCTCCAAAGGTGTGCCATCGGGGGATGGTGGGGTGGGGGTGGGTGAGTCCTCGCCTTCTCCTGCCTCTGGGAGTTGACGGCACGAAGATCGTGCGCGTTGCGCTTCATAGAAGAGGCAGGTGTGGCGGGGTGGCGGAGGGTGGGGTGGGGGCGGGGCGGACGGGCAGGGTTGGGGGGTGGAGAGTCCCCTCGTTCTAAGCTGGCACACTGGAGCTGACGGCGGATGTGGAGGAATCGTGCGTGTCGCTTCAATGAAGAGGCAGGTGTGCGGGGTGGGAGGGTGGGATATGTGGGTGTCTTGGGAGTGTGAAGGTGAGGGTCAGTACCTAGATGGGTGAGCGGGGTGAGTGAGGGTGAGCAGGGTGAGGTGGTGGTGCGGGGGATAGGCTCTGTAGTTATATGCATTTCTGCTTTGGATAATGAATGGTTGTTTATTTTGTTATAATTGCTGTTTTGGGAGTCGGTCATCATTGACATTCTCCCGTTGAACGGACTGATGAATTGTTATTAATGTAGTTTTCATTGTCACTGATATTTTGTAGCAGGCTTCTTTGACATAGTGCATTCTAGGCTATTGACTGGTTGTTGACATTGTTGTTATTGTTATTGTGGGTTAGGCTTCATTGACGTACGCAGAAGCACAGGGCATGATCGATGATGTAAGCAGGGACGACTCTCTGGCTGTGTGTCTACGAAATCTCAACCGCCTCGCTAAGATTCTGAACAAGCGCAGGATAGAACAGGGGTAACACGACGCAGTAGGGAGAACTACCATTAGAAACATTTTTTAATGAAAAATAAACGTAAAAACGTTGAGCAGTGCATCGATCACTAATCGAAACGACTTTGCAAATGATTGCACGATTCTCGTGTGCCATCTACTGTTGTATTGTAACCTGATGGACGTAATTACTTGAATGCGAAACTAACACAAATTGTCGAAAAAAATTGACTTGTGGGTTTCCACCGTGTTGAAATATGAAACAGACGTGAAACAGGAATTTGCTCGAAGAGAACTGGTAACTCTACAATCTTGTTAAGCAGAAAAGCTTCAAGAGAAATCTGGATAGGCTAGGATTTTATCGGGAGTGAATAATACATGATGATTAGTAAATAATGCATAAATTTAAATATATTATTTACTCCTGATTTCATCGTGCAGCGATGAGGAGTTGGCTAACGTTGTTCTTGGCATTTCAGGGCACTTAGTCTTGCTTCATCGGAGGTGCGCTTCCACATGGACAGCGAAACCCATGACCCTGTCGACGTACAGACGAAGCAGATGCTGTAGGTTACGAGCCCTTATTAGTCAGTTCCCTTAGTGCAAAATATGGGCCGAATCGTTACAGAAGTGACAAAAGTCTCAAACTTGGCACAGTTGTAGCTTATGGCAGTACTATAATTATTAGAGGGGGTGCCCAATGCAGATATTCTTTAGAATTGAATTACAGCTGATTAAATATTCAAACCACCCGACTTCGAACCCTCTTACCGCGCCGCCTTTATACAATGCCAATACATGTACCAGCTGTATACAATGCGCCAGTACACACAGTATAGGCAGGCGCGGTAGGGGGGTTCGGAGTCAGGTGGTTCAAACATTTAATCATCTGTAATTCACTTCTGCGTGCATATATTTGCAAATATATTGACTACTCGTGCGTCAATAAACAATATTCACAGGGATTATAGCTAAGACATGTGTTTATAGGTCTCTAGAATTTAGAAATTAACTCAAAGTCCTCGGGCGAGATAGTTATAATAAAAAGGTAAAAGAGAAAGAGTTAGTACATATCTACGGGCCATAGCGCGTGTGTATATATTAGCCGCTATGAGTGATACCCGTGCGCATTATTTTTGTAATTAATTAAAAACGATTCTGCTTTATAAACTCAAAATTCGGCAGAGACCATAAGCTAAGAGATATGTTTATAATGTATGCTAGAAGTGTTTAGCAAAATGTAACTCAAATCGTTCGCGAGATATTAGAGTTAGTACACTATCCTACAGTCCATTACCCGCGTATATTATTTGTAGCCATGGCGATAACGCGTGCGTATATTGTGGTAATTAATTAAACTATTCGTGATTCAATAAACTCAAGAATTCACGATGGACTTATAGCTAAGACGTGGTTTATATGTATTTAGTTTTCTAAAATGTGCTCAATTCGTTCGCCAAGATAAATGAGGAGTTAATACACGTTCATGCCGCTATAGTGCATATAGCGTATGCAGGGGGGGGGGGGGGGGGCGGGGGTAGGTAACAACTGTATACAAGCGCCAGTACAGGGAGGGCGGGCACGGTTTCGAACATTAATCATTGTAATTCACTCCATAAGTAATATTACCATTGGGCACTCCCTCTAATATTTTATAGTACATACTGCATAGGTACCTTGGCCAAGTTTGATGCTTTTGTCCAGCTCTGTAACAGTATCATGAGGCTAAGGACCTGGAACTAATAATATTGTCAATAGGTCAACACATATTAACTCTCAGCATGTCAGTTCATGTCATCGGGTTGTAGCATAAGCGTGCATTACTGTTCAGTAGATTAGAATAAATATTTAATGTTATTATTATGATTAAAATGCATTTACCAGAAGTTTTTACACACAAATTTTTTATATTCTTGAATAATTTTGTATTTAGATTGTAATTAACTTTTTTTCTGATGATCGCCCATTCAGTGGCATTAGACAGCAAAAAAAACTTAATTGGGATTTAAATTAATTGTAATTTTAAATTTTAATTCCCCTCCATTGGGATTGCTTTGCTGCGTCCACGCGCAGAGACTAACTCGATGGTGGAGGAAGATGATGGCTGCTGGCTAACATCTCCGTAGCGGGAAGGCGCATCTACAAGGAGTTCCCGCAGCTGGCGTCCTGCGGCAGACATCCGGCGCCCTAGCCACCCTCCACTACAAGAAAACAACCCACCCCCCGCGCGATCAAAGGCTGCGGGCCGGGGAACCCGCGTGGCGTTGTCAAGGGGGCTCGAGGAGCCTCCAAGGTATCCGCAGCTTCGAGCGACTCGTTAGCGACAACTCGTTTTGTGCGTTATTTTGATCATTTATATTAGGTATGAAGATTAAGGGCAGCAGCAGCAGTTTCGCTGCGTACAAGTTCACTTAGGCTGAGAGAGGTCTAGTCCCCTCGGGGTAGACTGAGCCGTAAACGTAACCTGGGTACGGTCTGGTATACCGGAGCGCGCTGTTATATCTAATATCTGGACGTACTCGCCTACTCCACTAACGAGTCATAGGAGCCGCCTACGCCTAACTCCGCTAAAACCCCTAACCCTAACCCTAACCATAACCCTAACCAATATCAAATAGTGACCATGGTACGTTCCGGTATACAGGACCGTACCCAGAGTACGTTCCGGCAGTACCCTGGGGGACATAGACCCTATGAGCGTCACTTAGCTGCCTGCTATCAGTTGTAGAGGGGATCAGAGTGATAGGGGGTAATCAGGGTAATCATAATGCGTAATGACTGTGTGTGTGTACGGTTTTTAGATTAGTCCTCAACAGTTACAAGGGGTATTGGTTGATGTCTCTACGTGATGCATTTATGACTTGCATTTATGATTAGTGAATTGGATTAGGATTAGGATTAGGATTAGGACAAGCATTGCGATGGGTTTCTTTAGAATCGAGGATCATCGCGATGGCTTTGTGTGTGTGCAGGGCTTCACGCTGGACATCAACAGTAGCAAGGGGCTCGCAGACTCCCTGAATTTGGCCGTCATCAAGACGCATCCCTACTTCAACACGATGCTGCGCATCAAGGCGACGCGATGCATGATGCAGGCCGTCTACTTCTGCAGCGGCAGCCTCCCTGAGACAGAGTTCCACCACTACGGGCTCGCGTCGCCCATCTACACTCACTTCACGTCCCCGATCAGAAGGTGAAGTACCGCTTAGACTGTCCTCACTTCTTCTTACTGTTTTTCTCAACGTGCATGTATTTGTTTGCACTTCTACACACTTAACGTCCCCGATCAGAAGGTGAAGTTCCGCTGAGACTGTCCTCGCTTCTTTTTAGTGTTTTTTCCCACGTGCGTGTATGTCTTTGCGCTCACAGCATGTACTTTTGCAAACGTGTCTTCGTTTATTCTCTCTTGATGGGGTTCATGGCTAAATACCTCTGACGTCGGTATGGAAAGCTGCGTACAAGATAGGTGGATAGCAGATCTATTCTAGTGGAATGGAAGACCCATTAGGCAAATTTTCTATAGATCTAAGCAATATAACCATGCACATCTTGGATGTTGTTGTTAGGTCAGCCAAGAGAGATTGGATTGGGCATGCTTTTCACGTGTTTGCCGTCAAAACGTTGACCTCACAGCACTTCATACTAAGCATTAATTTTATACCGATGATCGCAATGCTGATTAGTTGATGCCGACTGCAAATAATGCCACCCCAGTAGATCGACTCATCCACTCGTAATGATTGATAAATAGCTCTAGCCAGCCATCCAAAAATGCTAGTAACAAAGTACAGCAGAGTCAAGTTTGGCATGCGCACGTAAAAAAGAAATAATACTGGTCTAGCTTGATTATCCTAGCAATAACAATATACAGAGGGCCGTGACAATATACAGAGGGCCGTGACAATATACAGAGGGTCGTGACAATATACAGAGGGTCGTGACAATATACAGAGGGTCGTGGCAATATACAGAGGAGAGTGACAATATACAGAGGAGCGTGACAATATACAGAGGAGCGTGACAATATACAGAGGAGCGTGACAATATACAGAGGAGCGTGACAATATACAGAGGGGTGTGACAATATACAGAGGGTCGTGACAATATACAGAGGGGCGTGACAATATACAGAGGAGCGTGACAATATACAGAGGGGCGTGACAATATACAGAGGGTCGTGATATCATACAGAGGGGAGTGATAATATACAGAAGGGCGTGACAATATACAGAGGGTTATTTCTCTTGGACTGACAGGAGGTCACTCACTCGCAGCGCTCACGTTTGTCGTTGTTGCCGTAGATACGCTGACATCATGGTGCACCGGCTGCTGGCGGCGGCGATCGGGGCCGACGCGACCTACTCCGACCTCATGGACCCGAAGAAGGTGCAGAGTACGTGCAACAACCTCAACTTCCGTCACAGGATGGGCCAGTACGCGGGCCGCGCGTCCGTCGCACTACACACGCTGGTGGGTGATCACGCAGTGGCTGATGGTGTGGTTATTTTACGAGTTAGAGTCTGTGTGGTACGGCGTGTTTTGGTAATTAACAGGACTTGCTAGATTATCTGTTATATGCTAGATATGTTTGAGGAGGCAGTGTTAAGAGTGCATGCGTGCTTTGGTAAATAACAGGATTTGCTAGATTACCGCCGCTTTATGTCAGATATTTTTAAAAGCTGCAGTGGCAGAGTGCATGTTTTGGTAAATGGGAGGCAATGGCGTGAATATTTCTTCACAAATGGTCATTTTCAAGTAGGTTGGACAATGGCTGCAAATGCAGCACTCTTGCATGATATGTAGCACTCTTCCTATTCCTGTAACGGTTTTGATACTAGTACGGTGCCAGATAATACTAATGCTACTGTTATCATGGGCTTTCATGCTGATATTGTATGAACTTATGATACCAGTACTGTACTAGCTAATGCTAATGTTAATGATGTTATCGTAGGCTTTTAAAACCCTGATGAATATGATACGATATACTGATGATACCAGTAGTGTTCCAGCTTATGCTTATGCCAGTGTTCTTATCGCGGATTTTTACAACGATAGTGTATAAACTTATGATACTAGCTAGCACTCTAATCGTAGATGACAACGATTCGCTTCCATTGCAGTTGTTCTTTAAGAACCGCGTCGTCGACGACTGGGGTTACGTTCTTTTCATCCGCAAGAACGCACTGCAGGTTCTCATACCGAAGTACGGGCTTGAGGGAACCGTGTGGCTGAAGTCCGACGATCCTGCATGTCCGGAGTTTGTGTTTAACGAGGAGGTGAGTGTGTTGGCGGCAGACGGCGCGCGCAGGGGAATCATGTTTGTGAAGGTTGAGCGATGAAGCAACGTGATGTCGTGCTGTGCGCACGAAGTAATCTGCAGGTCGGTGGTCTGTGGGATGGATCGCGTGCCGATTTATCACGCGTGTGTGCGCCTGAACGCATGCATGTGCGTGTGTGTGTAGTATCATGTGTGCGTGTGTACGTGATTACATACGCATGTGTGTGCGTTGTTCTGTGTGCATGCGGGCTTGAGAACGTGTGTGCATGAGACCAGCCGTGGTGTCTGGGTGTGGTGTGTTCAAACCTGCTGGTGCCCCTATCGTTTGACAAAGTACTACCTACCAGCTAAATCCCCAACTAATCGTCAAGTGTAGCGAGACAGTAATTCTCTTGTTGGCCTGGACTTAATTCCATATGCCACATTAGAGGATCTGGAAAAATGAGAGCGTGAATAACAACACAATGCAATCTTTGTACTTGCGTTGATTGACACACGACGAGTCGACGACACACAAATCGGCAAGCATTTGCCTTGTTTAGGTTTGGCACGACTCTGTGGAGTTCTCACGCGACAATGACTCCTTGCTGGCTTTCACCAGATTAGTACCGATATTGTTTTGCCCTAATTTCTCGTAATTTATCAAATTTACTGCACTCTATGCCGGAAATGGTGGGGAGGGTATCTACCATCCAATAAAAAACATTGAAATGCTTTGTGGTTACAACAAATAAGGAATTATTTAACGGTGGCCTCGTTCAAAGCTAAAACCGGTCATACCAATAAAACCTCTAGTTAACGCGTGTGGGAGTACATCAACTGTTACACTTAGAGTACTTGGTGCTATTTTACAAACCCGTACCATGCCCATATGCACACACACGCACGCACGCATGCAGCACGTGTGCACACATACGTGCCTGCTGCCCACAGGCACACATGCCCGTACACAGATTGATTGCATGCACTATGAACAGATCATTTTCTTTTATCCACATAATAAATATGTAACTTAGAATATTTGATAGCATACCGTATAAATTTCAATATATGCATATTAATTACATGCATAACGTTGGCACTACTTTTTGGCAGCGGAAGCTTCCGTGCGCTTGCCGTGTCTCGCGACGTATTCATCCTCTCTCTGTTTCCCGTTGCCAGGACAACACGATGACGGCGGCCGGCGTGACGTTCCACGTGTTTGACCGCGTCACCGTGCGCATCAGCATCGACAGCACCAAAATCCAGCACCAGAAAGTGCGCATGCAGCTCGTGCGTCCCGCGGTGAGTCCCGCCACCGCCCTGCCTGCATGCTCCGCCCTGCCCACCGCCCTGCCTCCACGCTCCGCCACACCCACCGCCCTGCCTCCACGCTCCGCCACACCCACCGCCCTGCCTCCACGCTCCGCCCCACGTCCCGCCCACCACCCTGCCTACACGCTCCGCCCCACCCATTCTACTGCCCCACAAGTGCAGGCGAGTTGCAACTAGCCCTATGCAAATTCCCGGTGTTAAAATTTGGAACGAACCCAGCACGGGACGAATCTTTCACCCCAATTCCTTCGGAAAGTGTTACAAAAATTGTTATACTCTGTGCCTCCGACGAAGCTCTGCTGTCTTTGCCGCTCGGTTGTCGGCTACGCTACATCGATTTTGCGGGATCTACGTCATTTCGGCGTGCCTTCGAAAGCAATGCAGGAAAGTGGTGTGGAGGCGAGACGAGCTGCAGGGTGATTAACTGGGAAACTAGGGCTCCTAACGGCGAGGAATACTCGGGGTGCGGCGTTCGCGTTAACAGAGTCACGCGACTACTACCGCGACTGTCGCCGTCACCCCACATCGATGATGATCGGAGGTATTTGTAGGCGCGGCTGCGTGCGCTGCTACGTAGAGATGGGATTAGAACGCGGCGAGGACGGACACCTCGCGATGCGTTCCGCTGTGCTGCACTCGTTGTGTAATCGCTTCACCGCTGTACGATTTGTCCTGTGTGGTACCGCGCTCGCATATCCGACCATCTGATGCTGGAGGGGGGATGTTCCTGGAAGTTGCCAGCGAATTCCATCGAGTGAGGGGATATCACGTGATCCGGCTGCGTGTGCTGAGCCCAACTGTGTTCAACTGTAACCTAAACGAGTGTTTGTGACATTGAACCCAAAACGTGAATCACATGTCATTGCACGATACCCCCCCACCCTCACTTGATGCATTTCACTGGCGACTCGTCTTGGAAGTCTACATGTATGGATATCTGCAGAATACTGACGTGTAGTGTGTGTCATTTGGCGTTTTTAGGTGCTGGGATTCAGCGTGCCAGAGAACGTGGGAGAGGAGACTACCAATACAAGCCAATCAGCACCTGCCAAGAAGCAGAGGAAATCATGAACGCGAAAAAAAACAACATGAGGACGACGTGCTTTGTGTGCTGTTTTTATAGAAAAGAATAAATCAATCTGCAATGTATACGTGTCCATGGTTCTGTTCATGTTGTGGGTGGAATGCATACATGTGGGTGCGATTTGTTTGCATCCATGCACAGACGATTTTGAAAGGCGCTACGGAAACCTTTACAGCTAATACAATCACCCTCTCGTGTCCACTTACATGTATTATCGTCCTCACGCTTCAACATCAGAAAGTGAAATGTAAACAGAGAACAAGCATTGCCACCTAGTACACATTTTTTAATGATATAAAGGAATACCCGATGTCCAGTGTAACATTGTTATAAATACCCTGATGCTATTTGCATTCTGGGGAGAAAATTGTCTGCTCTCAAAAACGGAGAAATTCAGCAATCATAATTCAGAAAGATTTTAACAATTTTCAATCATTTTTCATCACAATATAATCCACAATTTATGTTGATGCTTGATATTTTCTTACATTCATACGGACATTAAAATACAAAAATAGAAAGATAGTTATGAAGGACTACACACTATCCATACAAGAAAAGCAAGGGCGCTAGTAAACGCACTAGAAAAATATGCCATACTAGAAAGCAGACGCATAAATTCGAAATTATAGCACACAACAATGCATTATGGCAATTCCAGAGAAACGGGGCGCTATGAAACGCACTAGAAAAATATGCCATATTGAAGAGTAGATGCTCAAACCTGGCGTTCTAGCATCTCACACCGCAGCAGCTGTGGCGGCTAACGATCACACACTGTGTTCTCTCAGCCAGCGACGCGTAACGTTTCGTGGAATTTAAATAGACCCAGATAGTCAATCACCGTATTACATGGGCTCGTGCTGTCCTGGGACGAATGGTTTGGCGGGGAGGCGGAAGTTTAGGTGTGGAGTGGTGTGTGTGTGTTTTAGGCGTCAATGTCGCTCGCTCCTCGATGTACGCTCAAACTGAGATATATGTTTTGTTGCAATTTCTGGAATGAAACTTAGGCCTTTCGTTCTTGTTCGATAACTGCAATAGAAAAATAAGCTTGCTTAATTTTCAGAATGAAATAATTTTGGAATAATGTTCTGTTAATTACATTATTTTTTCTGTTCTGAACCCTAACTGGTGGGATTTCGTCATTAGTTTATTAATTAATTACCCAACTGTGCTTTCCCCTGATCAAGAATTCGTAGATGTGTCCATGACAATTATGACACACAGCCAAGCCCAGCCCAGCCCAGCCCGCCAAGCCCAGCCCAGCCCGCCTTGCCCGGCCTCCCACAGCTCGCGTGATAAACCTGACTCACCCTCCTTGGTGGGTAGCTGGTTCTTCTCCTGAGTTTCCACTTGCTTCAGCTGTTTCGCATCGAAATGCTCGATGCCCTTGATGAACTTATCGTGGCTTCGCTCCGCTTCTATCGCTGTAGCAAAAATTGAATCTCTGAGTAAGTAGCAAAAGGCATTCGTGGGCAATAGTCGGCACCTTGGTACGTAAGTACCCTCCCACCCATCCATTATACAAACATTATGAATAACTCCAATACAAGCTATAAGCTTAGTACACAGTGTACTGTAACCCTCATGTGCTAAAATTTTTCAGATAACGTGCACGCACCTGTGCACCATACAAGATTGCTACTGGACTTCCAAACTGACCATTATTGACCAAAACACCCTTCTCGCTTCCACCCCACACACATTAGTGTCAGCTTGGCACTATCGCTGGTCATACCACTAGGCTTTATCCTAAGTCACATGTAAAGTGGAGGCCTGGATGACTCCAGGGTATGCACTACCCCCATGGGTTTGCCGAGCTTATCACTCCACACCATGGCGCGATAATCTTATGTTCGGATGGACCCAGAGCTAGGAAACGCACGTGGACAGTTGTTACTGCTTGTTAGCATATTGCACACGTCATGCACACAGCACATTTGTTAGTGGACACAATGCTAGAACCCTCGGCGTGGCAACACGCCGCGCATGCGAGTACAGGAACACGATGCTTATCTGGGCACCCAAGTAGAAATGAGTCAAGCAAGCAGACCTTTTCGCGATAACGATACCGCATTGTCTGCCCCCCCCCCCCATAACAATGTGACATCCTTTGCCAGAACGGGATCCTTTGCCAGGCGATGCGTCTTTCGGGCAAATGCGCACACCGCATATGCGAATATTGCAGTGTTGGCCAATGTTGCCGTGGCGACGTTACCTACGATTTTCTAAGGGACAGCACAGACATGGAGGTGTCGGGCGTCATATATTTGCAAATATATTGACTACTCGTGCGTCAATAAACAATATTCACAGGGATTATAGCTAAGACATGTGTTTATAGGTCTCTAGAATTTTTCGAAATGTAACTCAAATCCTTCGCGAGATATTAGAGTTAGTACACTATCCTACGGGCCATAGCCGTGTGTATATATTAGCCTATGAGTGATACCGTGCGCATATTTTTGGTAATTAATTAAACTATTCGTGCTTTAATAAACTCAAAATTCGCAGAGACCATAGCTAAGAGATATGTTTATATGTATCTAGAGTTTTAGAAAATGTAACTCAAATCGTTCGCGAGATATTAGAGTTAGTACACTATCCTACGGGCCATAGCCGCGCGTATATATTATCCTATGACGTCACGTGGATTATAGCTAAGACATGTGTTTATATGTATTTAGATTTCTAGAAATGTAGCTCAATTCGTTCGCAAGATATGAAAGTTAAAAGTTTATCACTCCCTCTAATATTTATAGTACACTACTGCCATAGGCTACAACTGTGCCAAGTTTGATGCTTTTGTCAGCTCTGTAACGATCATGAAGCTAAGGGACCTGACTATAATATGTGTCAATAGGTCAACACATATTACCTCTCAGCATGTCAGTTATGTCATCGGGTGTAGCAAGCGTGCATTACTGTTCACGTAGATGTAGAATAAATATTAATTGTTATTAATTATGGATTAATCAATTTATAAGTTTTTACCAAAATTTTTTATTCTTAATAATTTTGTATTTAATTGTAATTAACTTTTTTCTGATGATCGCTCATTAGTGCATTAGCACACAAAAAAACTTAATTGGGACTTTATTAATTGTAATTTAATTTTAATTTCCCCTCCATTGGGATTGCTTTGCTGCGTCCACCGCAGCGAGACTAACTCGATGGTGGAGGAGATGATGCTGCTGGCAAACATCTCCGTAGCGAAGCGCATCTACAAGGAGTTCCCGCAGCTGGCGTGCCTGCGCAGACATCCGGCGCCCCCACCCTCCAACTACGATCCGCTCGTCAAGGCCGCAGCCTCCAAGGTATCCGTCAGCTCGCCGGGCGACTCGTTAGCGACACTCGTTTTGTGCGTTATTTTGATAATTTATATCAGGGTATGAAATTAAGGGCAGCAAGCAGCAGTTTTGCTGCCTACAAGGGTCTCTTAGGCTGAGAGGGTCTATGTCCCCCGGGGTACTGCCGGAACGTACCCTGGGTACGGTCTGGTATACCGG